GTGGTTATTTTGTATCTACAAGAATAACGCTTGAACAGTATATATAAAAATTACAACGCATAGGGACGGATTATGGAGATTATTTTATCAAAATGCTAACAGCAGCTGTCTCTGCAGTGTGGAACTTCAAGGCAATTGCACTTAAGCTGCTTGAATTTCTTTTGCAACGAGCATGTATTATTTTTTAGAGAAATAAGAAAAAAATTGACTCCCACTCCTCAAAACTGTATCCTTTGTCCTAAGGTAAGTGATTCTACTTATCAGCAGTCTTGGAGTTTGCAGTTTCCCCATTTGCACGGGGACTGGATAGCCTGTCTTATTTCTTTTAGCATCGCTTACCTGTCATCCTCACCTACTAATCTTAGGCAGTTGGGCTAAAATGGTAAAAGGATAACAACATGTATATTTTAAGGAAGATGTGTTTGGAGACTTCCCTCTCCTTAAGACCAAGAGCAAGTTCAAGCCTTGATTGAACAGCCATTGTTGCTCTCTGATCACTTCCGTGCAAGTGGTTTTATGGTGGGGGTTGAGGGAAAGGATTATTTCAGGAAACTGACATTTTAATCCTACTTTTTTTCCCTCTAGCAGGAACTAATTTTTTAAAAAAATATATTATTATTGATATCAGAGAGGAAAGGAGAGGGAGAGATAGAAACATCAATGATGATAATCATTGATTGGCTGCCTCCTGCATGCCCCACATTGGCTGCCTCCTGCATGCCCCACATTGAGCCCACAATCCAGGCACGTGCCCGGACTGGGAATAGAACTGTGGCCTCCTGGTTCATAGGTTGACGCTCAACAACTGAGCCACCGTAGCTGGGCTCTGCTAACTTTTAAATGGACACAGGAATAGTACATTCGCTATGACCGTTTAACAGATTGTAGGATCCTGGGTTCTGTGAAGGGCACTTATATTTATAATTGCTTCAAGAAATGAGTGATCACTGTTAATAAGGTTTTATAACAGTTTTAGAAATCTGTAAGCACATGCTCTCAATTGCTTTAGGCATAGCCAGCATTTTAACAGCCTCCCACCCACCATGCAGCGCCCACAGGAAACTCCTTTTGAAGCAGCTCTGGTCACAGATCCCATGGCAAATCATGGATGCCCTCTCAGTACAACACTGATGACAGCCACTCTCTTGGCCTTTAAGGTAGTGCTTCCAATACTTTACCATTAACTCTCTTCTTTGCAACAGGTCAGGATTTCCCAATCCATTATTATTCCTCTTACTCCAGTCTTATAAATGAATGTTGAATGGCATCAAATTATTTCAATTGATGGAGATTTTTCTCCTCTAATTATATATATATATATATATATATATATATATATGTAAAATCTTCATTGTTGAGAAAATTACAGATGTCCCTCCTACCCCCTTCCACCCGGTTCCCCCCACCCCAGGCATTTACCACCTCACTGTGTCCATATATAAGATCTTTGGTTAATCTCTTCCCACCCCCCACCTCCTTCCCTCAGATTTCTCAGTCTGTTCCATGTTTCCACGCCCCCGATTCTATTTTATTCACTAATTTTGCTCATTAGATTTGTTCATTTTTTATTTCTAGATTCAATTGTTGATAGATACGTATTTATTGCCATTTTATTGTTCATATATTTTATCTTCTCAAGAATACCTTTCAACATTTCATGTAATACTGGTTTGGTGGTGATGAACTCCTTTAGCTTTTTCTTGTCTGTGAAGCTCTTTATCTGACCTTCAATTCTAAATGAGAGCTTTGCTGGGTAATCTTGGTCCTTGTGGTTCATCACTTTGAAAATTTCTTGGCACTGCCTTCTGGCCTGCAAAGTTTCTGTTGAGAAATCACCTGAAAGTCGTATGGGCACTCCCTTGTAGGTAACTGCTTTTCTCTTGCTGCTTTTAAGATTCTTTGTCTTTAACCCTTGGCATTTTAATTATGATGTGTCTTGGTGTGGGCCTGTTTGGGTTCCTCTTGCTGGGGACTCTATGCTTCCTGGACTTGTAGTCCATTTCTTTCACCAGGTAAGGAAAGTTTTCTGTCATTATTTCTCCAAATAGGTTTTCAATATCTTGTCTCTCCTCCTTCTTGCACCCAATGTGAATGTTGGTACGCTTGAAGTCCCATGGGCTCCTTACACTATCTTCATATTTCTAGATTCTTTTTTCTTTTTGCTCTTCTGATTGGGTGTTCTTTGCTTCCTCATATTCCAAATCATTGATTTTATTCTCAGAATCCTCTACTGTTGAATCCCTGTAAATTATTCTTTATTTCAGTTCTGTCTGCTTAATTTCTTACTGGTCCTTTTTCATGTCATTGACATTCTAAGATCCTTGAAAGTCTTATGACGATCCTTGAGTAACCTTATAACCATGGTGTTGAACTCTGTATCCAGTAGTTTGCTTGGTTCCATTTATTTCATTTGTGACAGGTTTCTTTGTCTCTGCATTTTGGGTGCTTCCCTGTGTTTGTTTCTATGTATTGGGTAGAGCTGCTATGTCTCTTGGAATTGGTAAGTGGCCTTATGTAGTAGGTATCCTATAGGGCCCAGTGGCTTAGCCTCCCCAGTGTCCTGAGCTGGGCACTCTAGGTGTGCCCCTTTGTGGGCTGTGCACACAGCCTTGTTGTAGTTGAGCCTTGATTGCTATTGGTGTCTCTGGGAGGAATTGACCTCCAGGCCATTTGGCTGTGGGGACCAACTGTGACTACAGTGGGAGAGCTGCTGTGCAGAAAATACACCCCCATGGAGCAGGACTTGCTTCAGTGGGGCTTTGGTGCTGAGTCTGCCTCTTGAGTGTGTCGCTTGTGGATGTGTAGAGTTGTAATCTGGTATGGTCTGAAGCTGTTCACCGGGTGTACTGGCTCTAGGGCAGCGATGGCAAACCTTTTGAGCTCGGCGTGTCAGCATTTTGAAAAACCCTAACTTTACTCTGGTGCCGTGTCACATATAGAAACTTTTTGATATTTGCAACCATAGAAAAACAAAGACTTATATTTTTGATATTTCATATATTTAAATGCCATTTGACAAAGAAAAATCAACCAAAAAAATGAGTTCGCATGTCACCTCTGACACGCGTGTCATAGGTTCGCCATCATTGCTCTAGGGCCTCCAGGGAGGTGCCCAAGCAAGACCCAGCTGTGAAGCAAGGCAGGCTGGCACTAGTGCCAGGTCTTGGACCTTTTATTATAGGTTGGGGGCATGCTGTCACCAGCTGCAGCTTGTTTGATTTTAGGAAAGTCTGAAGCCTGAGCCAGGACAGGCCATTCATATGGAAAAGCTGCTGCAAAGTTTGGGTGGGGCTGCAAATTGGATGGGCGGGGTCTCAGGGAATCACTAGGCAGAGCAAACAGGGCGTCACTGATGGAAACTCAGATATGGCTGCCAGTCAGCCCTACACTAGGGGAGGTCCCAGCACAGGAACAATAACCCTCTGAGGACCCCAGTCTGGGAGAAAGCCACCCCCTGAGTTCCTCCCCTTATGTGTCTGGGTCCTCCAGAGATGCTGCCCAGCACGGGAGCTCAGAGGAAGAGGGACCTTCTAAGTTGATGCAGGGCCCTTTAAAAGGAACACCTGTCTCCAGCAGCCTGCATGTCACTCAGCCCCAATCCCCCTGGTTTTTACAGCCCATCCTTACAGGGACTTCTCTTCCCAGCTCTGGGGGTCTGGTGTGGGGCTGGGGCCCTTGCTCCTCACGGGAGGCCTCCACAGAGTATCTCCCTCCCGATTAGCAAAAACCACACCCATGGATGTGCTGCCAGTCTCTAGGTGCTTCTCTCTTCTCTAGTTGTAGGACCTTCCATTCAGCCAGCTTCCAGGCAGTTTTAAATGATGGTGGTTCTGTATTTTAGTTGTAATTTTGATGTGGTTGTGGGAGGCGGCGAGTACAGGGGTTTACCTGTGCTGCCATCTTGGTTCTCTCTCCCCTCCAATATTTTAATGCATCATTCCCATCAGCATATAAACATGCTCTTAAATAAAAAAGCCTCATACTTCTCTCCTCTTCCTTTTCCAATAAAATGACAGTTCCTATTCTCTAAACTCACCTCTACCAAAACTGTTCTTGTCCAGGTTCCCATTCAAAACCCCTGGGATCATCCTCTCCCCCATTCCAATCTTTCAGCAGATCCAGCGGCCTCTACAGTCCGTGCCACAAGGTAAGTCAAACCGGGCCATTACTCTGCTTAAAACCTCCAGATGTTTGCATGGTCTCTCCCTCCCTCCTTTTTATTGAAATGTAACCTTAGCAGAGACCTGCTGTGACACCCCACAGAAGATAGCCCTTCATACCCTATTTCACTCTGTCTCCTTTATCAGGTTTCATATTTTAGTCACAGCACTAATCCCCATCTGACTCACTGAGTTTATTTTATAATTAGGGGAGGGGGAGAGACAAGGGACAACCTCATTTTCCTCACTGCTATTACCATGGTTCTGTTTGTTGGGGGGGAAATCCCTTTGCCAATACGTAGTTTTTTTTAACTGTTTACTGAGGTTGGCCTCCTAAAGACTAACTTCCCACCTTCTATGGCTACGTTTTCTATGGAAAGCTTAGGATATAAGTACCTTCTGTCTTTTGTGCACCAGTGGGAGACACTTAGTTTTGGTCTGCAATATATAGCATGTACTCTTCTAAAATTCAGGAGGCTTAAAAATAAGAAATGATGGACTTGTATTACTTACCTGTTTTACCAATGAGGCCGTTAGTATTTGAACTCAGGTACCATAGAGCCTCTGGCTGTAACCCATTATACCATAAACCAGAGAGGTTTAAATGACAAAAAGAGAACATTTTAACATTACCAGACCCCATGCTTGATGTAGATATGTTTAAGAAAAAAGTAAACTGACAGAAACAACACAGTATTCCTTTTATACAGCTGAACTGGGCACATAGTGAAATGCGCTATAAAAATTCCACGTCATTATCTCCAAAGGAAATCCTTTGTTTACATGGTTTTACATATTAATTACTCTGGAAAGTTTCTGAACTCTGTTTAGTAGCAGATCTCCTTTCTTGATAGTTTCTTGGTACTGCCAGTTCTTGCTATCAGGTCTATAAATAAAGTCAAGAAAAAAAATGAATTATTTACTAGTCATATTACTCTGTAACAATAGTTGACCTACTTTTAAAAGAAGGCACTTAAGAATGTCCCTAAGTGAAATAAGCCAATCAGAGAAAGACAAATGCCATATGATTTCACTCATGTGTGGAATGTAATGAACAAACTGAACTAACAAGGAAAACAGAGACAGACTCATAGATAGAGCAGGTGGAAGGATTGAGAAAAAACCCAAAACTCATGGACACAGACAACAGCGTGGGGATTGCGGGGGTGGGAGGTGGAAGCGGGCATAGGGGGATAAATGGTGAAGGAAAAAAATGAAATATAATAATGTCCCTTATTATGGGGAGTATTACACAAACGAAATGTACCTGTTGGTTTCCACTATTTCGTTCACTTTATCTATTTTGCAGTGTAGTCTCCCAGCAGCAATAAATCTGGAGAGTTCCCTAATGAGAGAAAAAAAACCTTTAGCATCTGTCTTATGAGGAATCTTAGGAAACTATAAAGTGCACTAAATACACGATTCAATTGTCTTACAAGGTAACACTGAGTTCCCTCCATCCTTAGCTACTGAATGTGTAGAGCAGCGGTTCTCAACCCGTGGGTCGCAACCCCTTTGGCAGTCGAATGACCCTTTCACAAGGGTCGCCTAAGACCATCCTGCATATCAGATATTTACATTACGATTCATAACAGTAGCAACATTACAGTTATGAAGTAGCAACAAAAATAATTTTATGTTTGGGGGTCACCACAACATGAGGAACTGTATTTAAAGGGCCAGAAGGTTGAGAACATCTTTGGTGTATTACAGGACTATCCCCAAAGAGTAAGTCACCTACCAGCATAAACATGACCCCAGAGTTTCATACTCAGATGGAGTGTAGGTGGCAAAGAATGAAACCATTCACAGCAAGTTTTTAGAGCTACAGAGGTGCTCAGAGATAGACACTGGCGGGGGGGGGGGGGGGGGGGGGGCAGAAGGAAAAATAACAGGATACAGGATTTATTGGGAGCTTGAGGGCACTTATTAAACTTTAAACTACCCAGTTTCCTTCAACTTAACTGTTAAGGAGCAGGTAGTTCTCAGGACTTTCAAAATCCTAGAGAGCATGAAGGAGAAAAAATAATAATATGCTATAATAAATTAGGATCAGGAATGCAAAGATGATGGGTTTAATGTGCTGTGAATGTGAAAAAGGTATTTGAGACTCTATATCCATTTATGACCCAAACCTCATAATTAAGACAGCTATTTAAACAATATGGTTATGGTTACATGTATACCTCAAAAACCAGCATCAGTAGTGAAACTCTCTAAAGACAGTTTACTCTCTACCTATTACTATATGACAGAGGAAAAAATGTAAATGCTAAGTAATGTATAAAAGCTGTATGAAGACAGCTCTATTATGCTGCTAAAGAGAATAAATGAAAAGATGACTCCTTTAAAATAAAAATCTATTTGTGTTAAACTTAGAGATTCATACAGTGAGTCCTCCGAATCAAGAAAAATCAGATTTCAAATAGAAATTAAGTACCAGATTATTCTCCCAGATAGTAAAACAACCTGATCCAAGCACATAAACACCAACAGAATCCAATTTCTAACAAACGTGCCATTGCAAACCAATGGGGAAAGGTTGGCTTAGTCAATAAATGGTGTTGAGAGAGCCTAAGAAACCACATAAGAAAAATGGATAAACTTTGATTAAAGAGAATTTCTACATAGGAAAATACCATCAAGACCAAGTCAAAAACTAAAAGACAATGTGAATAAAAGATGTTTGCATTATAAAGTAGAAAATACTACAAATCGGGCAAAGGACATACATAAAAAAATCAACTTCACTCATTAAAACTGCAAATTAAACCTACAGTGAAATGCCACTGTATTGGGCAGGACAAAGTCTAAAGCACCATTAAGGAAGGTCAGGGGTAAACACCATGCCTGACACTTACTGAAAAGCAACCATTACAATTAGATGAAGTGTGTAAAGTGTGCTGCTTTGACTTGTGCTTTAAAAGAAATGATCAATATCGTAACTAGTTGCCACTGGTCAGTCACCGGTGAAAGACGCACTATGCCTTGAATTAAGTTATGCTACTAAAGATTTTAAGCTAGAGGTTATCCTATACTAGCAAGAACTGTAACGTTTATACAGCATGCTTTATTCAACAATTCAACCAAAATATATTTGATTCAACTGCTAGTTTTTGAGTTAACTGAATGGCTTTAGGTAAAATCTAAAAATTAAATAGCTCAGCCCAGCCTGGCAGGCAGGGTTCAGTGGTTGAGCATCAACCTTTGAACCAGGAGGTCACAGTTCTATTCCAGGTCAGGGCACATGCCCAGGTTGCAAGCTGGATCCTCAGTAGGGGGCATGCAGGAGGCAGCCGATCAATGATTCTCTGATGTTTCTATCTCTCTTTCCCTCTCCCTTCTTCTCTGAAGTCAATAGAAGTATTTTTATATGTAAAAATAATTAAAATTAAACAAGATCAGCATTGTTTCTAAACTCATTTATATTTATATTCCAGGAAAACAGTTGCAACTCTTATTCTGGGACTGAAGTACACAGACAGAATTACACAAGTTCAATCATCGCCAGCTTTCGTAGTCCTACCCAAAGCTATAGAACAGGAAAGAAAACCTCTCAAGAAAAATCTTGACGTTCTGATTTAGGAACAAGATACCAGGCAGCCAGATAGACAACTACACTGGATTTGACTTACAAGCAAACTCTGACTCAAGAATGCCCTCTGCTGAGCTTAGATCTACTGTTCGGCTCTAGAGCCCGACTGCTGACAATTCCGCTGCTCCTGTCCATCCCATTGTCACCAGACCAGCTTAGGCAGCGGGAGATGAAGACCCCAAAGAGATCCTTCTAGGCTTAGCTCAGTGGACTCCTGTACATCTATCACACACTCCATCAGGTACAACTAGGCCACTCGTTTCTCAAACACATCCCTAATTTACCTGTGCTATTCCACCACTTCCTATTAAAACCCTAAATATGCAGTGACATCCGGTCTAAATGCCCACAAGAAGCCATCTGTGGATGTGTCCACTTCTCAGGCACCTGGACCAAATACCAACCCCAATTACACTCATTCTAAACTCTGTGTGCCAAGAGTAATCTGGGCACAACAAAGTTTCACTCCTAATGCCGTAACTTGGCACTGAAGTCCCATTCCCTGCTTTAAATCCTATCAACAAGCCCTAGCCAATTTGGCTCAGTGGATAGAGCATCGACCCTCGAACTGAAGGATCCTAGGTTCGATTCCCAGTCAAGGGCATGTACCTTGGTTGCAGGCTCGATCCCTGGCCCTGGTCAGGGTGCATGCAGGAGGCAACCAATTGATGTCTCTCTCACATCTATGTTTATCTCTCTGTCTCCCCCCATCCCTATCACTCTCTCTAAAAATCAATGAAAAAGTATCATCGGGTGAGGATTAATAAAAAATATAAAATAAAAAGGATTTCACCTAGCCTGGCCAGTATGACTTAGTGGTTCAACGTTGACCCTCAACCCATATACCAAGAGTTGGATTCCCAGTTAGGGCACATGCCTAGGTTGCTGGCTCGATCCCCAGTAGGGGGTTGTGCAGGAGGCAGCTGATAGATGTTTCTCTCTCTCTCCATTTTCCTTCCTCTCTCTAAAAATCAATAAAAACATTAAAAAATAAAGGATTTCACCTAAAATAAATTTTTATGGTGGGAAAAAAGAACTCATGAAAACCCAGACTTGAAGCAGGTAAAACATGGCTTTTCTAGGGAACAACAATTAGAGTTGAGTGGTACAACCTTTGTCTCTAGAGCTGGTCTTGGAAAAGGAAAAAAACCAAACAATTCAAATACCAGCTACCTCGAAATGTGCCACGTGCTTTGAATAAACATGTCATTTAAATGACTTAAAGAATACTGCAGTGGGTGTATCTAAATGGCACTGTCCTGCTTCAGATGTCACACTGAATTTGAGCTTCACTTTGACCACAATTAGTGACGGCTTTATCACCACCACACCATAGTTAAACTGAGGAAGGGACAGAACCTGCCCAAGGCCACACCGCTCTTTAGTGGCCGACTTAGAAGGAGAAGGCAGGCCAACCCCATCTTCCATGCATTTGCTCACTCCTTCCACTGATTCATGAAAACCATTAATAATGGCCATCCCCCATGCTAGTAATTAACTCTCATGGTTACCAGGCAAATCTCACAGACTAGTTAATTCAGAAATGAAACAACAAAACCAACCTAGGGATACCAGCCTTCTTCCTTGGTAAGGATACTTTTTAAAAAACAAACATTACTACTAATGCCTTTTTTCTTTAAAGGAAGGGAGTGTGGGTGACACGGTAAGATCGTACATTTCACTGAATGCACATATTACCTCAAAACAAGCCCATGAGCAAATGCTGATATACATGCTGAAGTTTGGGGATAAAATGAACAGGAGTCTGAAACTTACTATGAAGTAGTTAAAAAGTAAGATGGATGAACAGGTAGGTGATAAAGCAAATATAACAAAATATTAGACAACCAAGGATATATGGGAATTTACTCTAATTCTTCAGAAACTTCTGCATGCTTGAAATTTTTTTGAAATATCAGGAAAAACACCACTAAAAAGAAAATGGTCTTATTTAAGTGAAATGCAGCTGCACTTAACTATATAAACACCATGTTTTTTCATTGTGGGCCACTGAAAATTACATCATGAACATTAAGACAGCACATTCTGAATGTCTACTTCTCAGCTACACTCCCACTACCCTCGTCCAAGCCACCGTAACATCTCCACGAGGTATTCTCTTGGTCTGTATGAGACACAGCACGGAATCACATCACTCCCATGCTTAAAATTCTCCAATGGCTCCCCACAGCACGGAGACTCAAACCCAAGCGCCATACCATGGCCTACGGGCCCTACACAAACTCTCCAACAGCCACCCCTTTCCTCACCACCATGCTGAAGCCACACACACCTTTCTATTCCATTTTATTATCTCTGTAGACTCATTTCTATCTTAAATGACCCATATATTTATTTGCTTACATGCCACTTCTCCTCTACAACTACAATAAAAGCCCATGGGATCCAAAACAATGCGAACCATATTGTAATGGCGTAGCAAGTATTTGAGGAATCATTAAAGGGCTACAGGCACCATATTTAACAGCCAATTTGACCAGAATTGCAGCAGCAGCCTAAAAACTGGAAGGCATTGAAATACGACCTAACGTGAACTACAGGATAGTGATCTAGCGTCATTCCTGCCGTGGCAGGGTGGTCCAGAAAGAAGGAGCCAAAGACTACTTTGGTTGGTAACAGCTGGTCTAACACCTTTTGCAAAATCACTTACCCTCTCTACAACTCTTAATAGAAGGGGCACGTCATGAAGGCAGAGATGACAAATATAACTGTTTTGATAATAATCTTAAGAAAAATTCTTAGATTTTTTCTTAATAGAGGGAAGCATTGTAAACAGGAAGAAAATGCACAAATTCACACATCAAAAGGTAACTTTAAAAACTGAGTTAGCATGATGTATGTAAACTTACTGATCAATGAATTCCACGCCAACACCAAAGGCTTCTGCCATGTAGCCGAGGGTTAATGACCTATATGATTCCAGCAGCTGGCTGTAGGCATGAATTCTCATTTCTCTCACATAGTACCGATAATGAGGAGCAAAAAGCCAGTCCTTTTTCATTTCTTGTTCCACAACAGCTGTAATGAATAAGATGAAAAATTTTAACTATCTCTTTCAGATAAATAGATAACTAGAGGACACATTTACAATGTAAGAATTAATAGCCTTGATCTATAAAGAGCTATTATAAGTAAATAAAAAAAAGATTAATTGAACAGTAAATGGTACACAGGACATTTATGAGCAATTCACGTAAGTACAGATTATTTTACTGAGTAACTACTACCGATCACTGCTCTAAATAGTGAAGATATGACAGAAACCAAAAGACAAGATCCCTGCTGCCACAGAAACTACATTTTCAAACAGCAGAGAGGGGTGAAAAAATAAGAACTCTCAGAGACTACCAAGTGCTGCTAAGAAAAAATGTTATGACGGGTGTGACTAGGAGGCCTCCCCTGGACTGGGGTGGACAGGGAAGAGCTTTCTGAGGAGCTGGCCAAGCGAGAGCAGAAGACAGAGCAGTGTGATGACAGGAAGGTCCCAAGGCAGGGGGAGCCTGGCTAGGCTCAGGTATCAAGTGTACCCAGGAGGACAGATTCAGAAGGTAGCAGGGAGACAGCGACAGGGCTATGGAACGTAAGAAAAAATCAAGAATATACAGTACTTGTGTTTCTGGCTTGAACAAGATCAAACTCTCTGGAGAAGAAACAGACTTTGTTTTATTTTTGGAGGTGCTTTTTGGGGGGAGGTCAGGAGTGGGATGGGGGTTTTGGCAGTGTTCAAGTGGATGCACCTATTAGACAGTGAGTGAAGATATCAAGGAAACAGTTATGCACGGGTCTGGTGCTCGATGGAAAGTTGGAGGCTGGAGGCAGGAACTCGGGAATCACTACCATCCAGGTGTATGATGACAGAATGAAGAGAGAGAAAAGGGCAGTGACCAAGTCTAGGACAGTCAGTGCTAGAGGTCTCACAAAGGATGAGGCCATAAAGTTGTGGCAAGAAGAAAAAATGATCAAGATCAAAGCAGAGAGGGAACACAATTTAGCAACATGGAGACCAATGGCCCTAAACACGAGATGATGTTCATTCTCACTAATAAAAGAAATACATAACCCTGGCCGATGTTGATCAATGGTTATGAGCATCGTGGGTTCGATTCCTGGCCAAGGGCATGTACCTGGGTTGCAGGTTCCATTCCTGGCCCCAGTCAGGGAATGTGTGGAAGGCAAGTAGTCTATGTATCTCTCTCTCTCTCTCTCTCTCCCCTCCATTCCCCTCTCCCTCCCTAACACTCTACCATGATCAAGAAGAAATGTATTTACCCTTTGCAAAATTCATTTTCTTGAATTTTTTCCTAAGGAAATAACAAGCGAATATGGAAAAGATGCATTGTAAACAAGTGTTCAAAACAAGGTTGCTTATAACACGGAAAAATTAGACATAACTTTTTATCAGTAAGGGATAAAGTATGGCACATCTAATACAATGAAGTATTAGGTCTTTAAAACAAATGAAAGCTACAAGGCGCACCACCTGTACTATCTGCCACTACACACACACTCAGAGCCTGATAAATGACAGCCACTTAAAAACACTTACTGACTCAATGACCACCTATTTGTAGAGTGACATGGAAAGATAAACACATTATATTGTGGAGAGACAAAAAAACTACTTAGAAAAACAGCACATAAAATGCACCCACATGTTTAAAGGTGTTCCCAGTATCTCTAAATGCCACTGCCCCTGACGGAAACACCTGAAACCTGCTGACAGCAGCTGACTCTGGGGAAAGGACCCTGGCAGTCACAGGTTAGAGAAGGCCTTCTTGTATACATGTGTGCATAGACCTTGTTTTGTTTTTTTAAAGTACACATAAATGAAAAAAGGTTTGGAAGGATATGTAACAAAATCTTAAATTGGTTATCTCTGGGAGAATGTTATGTGTAAATGTGTATATGGATTTGGGAATAGGATGGGATACAATACCTCTCACTTTCTCAGTTTTGTTTGTTTTTAAATATATTTTTATTGATTCCAGAGAGGAAGGGAGAGGGAGAGGGAGAGAGAGATAGAAACATCGATGAGAGAGAATCATCAATGAGAGAATAATCGATTGGCTGCCTCCTGCACGCCCCCTACCAGGGATCAAGCCTGCAACCTGGGCATGTGCCCTGACCAGGAATGGAACCATGACCTCCTAGTTCATAGGTCAATGCTCAACCACTGAGCATACCGAGCGGGCAGTTTATTTTTAATTTCTAAAAACAATCAGGATGCTATTTCTTTTTTCACATGAGATATTTTAAAGCACAGTCTATGAATATCTGGAGAAGCAAACAGTCTTACAAAGCCAGAGAAACTCTAGTGTCTCACTAAACGAAAACAGAATAAATAATACAATAGATGACTCTGTCATGGAAAGAAAATAACTATGCTGTCTTCTTCATTTAACATATCTGGGAGATGTATAAAATTGGTGAAGATAAAAAGTTTCATAGGAAAGTTGAAATAAAAGGTTGCTAATAGCGATGGGTAGAGTGGGAGGAGAAATTCACAGATTTCCAAAAGCCATCAATTTCATTACCCTAGAATAGCAATCCCCCCCCCTTCTTTTAAATTATTATTATTGTTATTACTATTACTCGGGGGGAGAGGGAGAGAGAGAAACATTGATTTGTTGTTCCACTTATCCATGCATTCATTGGTTGTCTCTTGTATGTGCCCTGACCAGGGATTGATCCCACAACTTTGGTGTATCGTGACAACACTATAACCAACTGAGCTAGCCAGCCAGGGCTCCCTTAAGTTATTGATTTAATTAATACAATAGACATTTACACAGAGCACTCAATAACATACCGGGCTATGCTGGTGCTGAGGTCACTACAAATATTTTTAAAAAAACACATAAAAGTTTGCTCCCAATAACTCTAGTTAGCAGAAGAAACAAACTCTAAGAAAAATATCACAAAACAATATGTTGTTTTAAAAATGAGTTATATGCCAAACAAGCACATGAAAAAATGCTCAAAATCATGTCATCAGAAAAATGCAAATCAAAATATCACAAGGTATCACTTCACACCTACTAAGATGCCTATAATTAAAAGCTACAGCCCTAGCTGTTTTGTCTCAGTGAATGGAGCATGGGCCTGTGGACTGAAGGGTCCTGGGTTCGATTCCAGTCAACGGCACATGCCTGGACTGTGGGCCTGTTCCCCAGTAGGGGGCGTGTAGAAGGCAGACAATCAATGATTCTCTCTCATCATTGATGTTTCTCTCTCTCTCTCTCTCTCTCTCTCTCTCTCTCTCTCTCTCCACTCTCCCTTCCTCTCTGAGATCAATAAAAATATATATTTTTTAAAAAGCTACAATAATAAGTGTTAGATGTGGGGAAATATGGATTCTCACGCATTGATGGAGGGAACGTAAAATGGTGTGGTTGCTTTGGAAAAGTTTAGCAATTGCTCAAAACATTAATCAAAGAGTTAACACATAACCCAGTAATTCCACTACCAGGTACATTCCCAGGAGAAATGAAAACACATTCACACTAAAACTTGTACAAAAATGTTCATTATAGCTTATTTTTAATAGTAAAAAACTGGAGATAATCCAAATGTCCATCAACTAATGAATAAACAAATTGCAGTACATCGATTCAATGGAATATCATTCAGCCATGAAACTAAGTGAAGCACTGATATGACACATGCTAAAACATGGATGGCCCATGAAAGCATTGTGCTATGTGAACGAAGTCAGGCACAAAAGGCCATGAAATGTCCAGAACAAGCAAATCCAGAGATAAAGTTTAGTGGTTGTCAGGGGCCAAGGGGAAGAACGGGAAGTCACTGCTAATGCATACAGGTTTCCTTTTGGGGTGATAGAGATGTTCTCGAATTGACAGTAATTGTTGCATAACCTTGTCCACATACTAAAACCACTGAGTTATACTTTAAAATGGTGAATTTTATGGTATGTAATTTATATCTCAATAAGAGGAAGGGGCATATAGTAAGGACAGCAGGACTGCAGAGAAGGTATTTGCTCTGGCTGAGCAGAGTAATGACCAGGAGATCCACAAGCATGCGAAAGGGAGAATAGCAATTCTGCAATACAACCTTGTGGGCAAACGCATCTGCATATGCATAAGAAGGTAAGGCCAAGCAAGTACTTCAGCATGCCTGAAGGGCCCTGTTCCCATCACATGAGGTAGAGTCTGAATTCTCATAAAGTTGCCTAACACTTACGCATCGATAAAGCACTCCATAACACTGGACCAAAACCCACTCTGAAATGGAATGATCATCATTTAGAGCGCCTCCCACCCCAACTTTGTGAATGCCATCTAACCATTTAACCAAATATTTTCTGAAATTTGCAGCATTAACAAGAGAAGTATTATCAATGCCAAGTTCTTTAAATTTTAGGAACTCCTGGGCAAAAGATTAGCCACACGGATCGAAGACCTACAGCTATTTTCTCATATATGTGGAAAGTCACCTAGGTCCTCTGACAACAGGATCAGGAGTAAGATGAAGACAGATAATCAAGATGAGCAACTCTATCCTTACCTAAGGACTGGAAGAAAACTGAGTAGCGGCATTCATACAGTGAAAACAGATATTGCCGAACGGCTGGAAGGCTATGCAGCACTTCAAGAATCTCTGCTCCTTTAATAACCTAGGAATTAAAAAAAATGCCTTAATGATTTTTTTGTATTTAAGTCAGAAAAGCATCTTTAAATGTGAATGTTAAAGATTCAGGCATTACCTTTTCCCTGAGGTCTGGTCTTTCTAAGGCAATCATGCTGACATACACAGTGTAAGTCACAAAGGTTTTATAATCCATTAGCTCATAGGACGTAAATGTAGAAACAGTGTCAAGGAAGAGTTCAGCTGCCTGTTTGAAATCACGAATAGCCACACAATAAAGACCTTGATATACTTTTAGGCGGTTTCTCCTGTCCCAGTCTCCTCCTTCCTCTATTAAGCTATAAAATAAAAATCAGTAAGGTCAAATCTAGAAATAGACAATGCCACTTTTTACAAGTTTTATGTTATTTTCAAAGAGAAAACAACCTTTAACAACTCAAAAAAAAGGACATTTAAGAAAAATATTTTACTAAATATATAAATTATTTGACCAAATTTAGTAATTGTAGTAAAAAGAAAACAGGCAAATTTCTTACATTAATCTCTTGCTATAGCATCATAATTTAGAGAGAATATAACCCCACTGCTAACAAGTACCTTTTGGCCTTTTCTGTGTTTCGAGTGATAAGATCATTGTCCATATAAAACAAGCCAATCCTAAGGAGATAGAACACAATATCCAGTCGGTGACCTAGTGCCACAGTTTTGTCATATGTCTTGCGAAAAGCTGTCAGAGCACCCTCCTGTCAAGAAAATCAAGACAACAGGTGAGAAAAGATTAGAAGTTTCAAAAGCTATCAGCTATCTGGGATTTTCTTAACAATGGATGGGGGTGGGGTGTTGGGGGGTATAAGTAGGAGTAGAGATGAAACAAGATGGCCATGAATTGGTAATTGTTGAAGCTGGGTGATAATCGCGCAGGGGTGCATTAAACTATTCTCGCTACTTGCATCAAGTACAAAAAAATACACCAGATATGGCCAAGGACATCTAGAAGACAATATGCACTGTGTAATAAAATATTTCCATTGCTTTAAAATATGAACCTGGACAAAATCATGTGTTCATAGTTGGTACTTTTATTATATATCTGACTTTGTTTTATGTAGGTATTAGTTATACCTCATAAATTCATAAAAAGGACTGGCAGAAAAGTAATGGGTACATCCAGCACTTAGATTTTGGTTTCTAAAGACTATCCCTCACTAAAAGAAATCAGGGATCCTAGGAAAAATAGATGATTCCCCATTTGGAAAGAAAAAATAACAGGTGAGCCTGTGGCATCTTGCTGTATGACTAATGAGATCATGTCAAAAGGACAAAGAAGCCTTCTTGAAGGAACTCCCACAAACAAATCTGAAACAAATTGAGCACCATAAAGAATAATAACTATAATCAGTGGTAACACAGTCAATAACAAAAATCCAGTAAGTCCATGATTTAGTAATTGTAAATAAAAAACAACAACAAAACAACAGAGTAAACAGGAGGGGCCTTGGCAGGGTAGCTCAGTTGGTTTGAGCATCGAACCGATACGCCAAGGCTGTGGGTTCGATCCCCAGCCAGGGCACATACATGAATCAACCAATGAATGCATAAATAAGTAGAACAACAAAAATCAATGCTTCTTTCTTTCTCTCCCTTTCTCTCAAAAAAAACAACGAACAGAAAGCTGTTCTTTTTAGAATGCTACTTGAAAAGCATACAATATTAGAACATCACAAATTTACAACCTGCCTGATATTGATTCAAGCATGTTCTCATTGAAATTCCCCAAGACCTGACTCAAAAGCATGAAGTTTCTCATTCAGACCCTGGACGCATGGGGCAATGTCCCAGCCCTCGCTCACTGAGACGCAGTGCGCTCTCTCGGGCTGGGCTGGTGTCTGCAGGGCCTGAAGCTCGCTGCATGTCAAAATGGCCAAGCCATGGGACAAGGCCATCCAGTAGCCCACCCTGGAAGTGACCCAGATGCACAACCACAACAGGAGCACCTGGTGCATGACTTGACCATGTTTTTGGAGGAGCATTTGGTAGGGAAGAAGTCTTTCGGGAACAGGCTGAAGTGATGCAAATGAAAACCCTGAGGACATTGGGCACTCTCCAGATGCTAGAGGATTGTCCAAAACAAGTATCATTGGGGAGCTGCCTCCCGATGACAGATCAAAGATAACCAAGCCTTCGGAAACTCTTATTGCTACGGCTGACTCTAATCCCAGCGGGCCGACCAACTGGGTGATCCCATCCATCTCTGCCCTGGCCCTGGCCCTGATGTACCGCCACTAACCGCCAGACAACTAAACACATCCCCAGAAGCCACTGAAAGAAAAGACTGCTTTGAATCAGGAAGAAAGAAGCCAGTGTTAACTACTTTGACCGACAGAAACCTTCACCTGAAAAGTTTAATACCTGTTTCCCTTTACTCCTACATTAGAAACAACCCAAGCCAAAAAGAACTATTCTGTTCTCTCTACTCTTGAACTTTTGCAGTGTGCCTTTTTATTCATCAACTTTATTTCAATGTTCCACGACTACTATAGGCATGATCTTTAAAAAATATACCTGGCTTTACAAACAAACCAACAAAAATATTCACATGTAATAATGAATATCTTCTTTAAAACCAAACCACAGACACAACCTAGAAAACCACACAACCCATTAGCTCTTTTTTAAATGTTTTGCATTTTCCAAATTTTTCCCATGAACAAATCTTAACTTTATAATCAGAAGAGGAAAACTTGTTTTAAATTTATTTTAACATTTAAGCACTTTGTGCCAGGTACTAATCTAAGCTCTTTATCTTTAATCTGAATAAGCAGAAACTATCGTTATCCCTTTTTAACAGATGAGGAAACTGAGGGTCCAGTAAATCATAACTGCTGAAACAAGAAACAGAACCTCTCTTATCCAAGAGCCCACAATATGTATATTTTTTATATTAACACCATGTCATCTGTCATCTAAATACTTCAGGGTGCAGTGCTTACAAGTAAGGGCAAACCCCATCCTCTTAACCAGCGGTCGCCAACTGTGGGGCGCGGTTACGGTGTTTTGGCCAGGTTCAAGCCTCGGACTAATGAAAGGACAGGGTCCTCTCATTGCCACGTGCAAGTCCCAGCTGGAGGGCAGGGCCCTCCCAGCACAATCATAGCCAACGGCTGTGGTTGTAAGCTTGAACCTATGGTCCGAACACGTGGCCCCACGTGCCTTGTGATAGAGTTTGGGTGCATGTAGTTGAGTGAGGTTGAAACTCACGAGAATGCTGTAACCAATGTGATCACGCCCCTACCTTGCCTCGTGGCATCTGCTATAAAATAAAGACACTTGTGGGCGCTGGCGCTGTCTCCTCATCAGGGAGGCAGCGTCCCACCAAGACCCAGCTATTATTCTCTTGTCTGTCTTTCCTTAATCCTTTCACCCCCCCACTCTGGATCACCCTTGGTCGTGCTGGCGAGGCACAGCCAACCTTTCGGACCTCATGGACCACTAGTGGTCGGCGGACCACCAGTTGGCGACCGCTGCTCTTAGCCACCATTACACAACTACTAAATTTTTTAAAAACTTAAAGATCCAATACAGCTGGGTATCCCTCTCACTCACTGACAGTGGAGTATAAATTAGGAGGTCTGCTTTGTGGAAAAATGGCCACACGTATTAAGATAAAAACTGTTCCTTGTCCCAGCAATTTCACTGCACAGAATATACCCTACAGAAACAATAGCAGACATACACAAGCGTGTTTTTACAGCAGCAGCTTGCAATAGCAGAATCAGCTGAAAAATAGCAGAATCAGCTGAAAACAACATCCATGCCCATCAATAGCTGAACAGCTAAGCAAACTGTGGCAGAGCCCCGCAATGGACTGCTAGCTAGCAGTTAGCCAGAATGAGCAAGATTTATGTCTATGAACATGGGAAATCACTCAGAAATAATGCTGATTGAAAAAAAAAGCAAGCAGGACAATAAAAATACACCACTTATTTTTTTAAGATTTAAACACAATACTACCTAATATCTATCTATCTATCTATCTATCTATCTCCCCGCCTCTCTCTCTCTCTCATATATATATATATATATATATATATATATATATATGCCTGTAAATGAACAATAAAAAGAACTAAAAAGGTTATATTTGAGGTACAGAACAAAGAAGAACGAACTAGAGTTTTAACATTAACTGTTTTAGTTTCTTATAAGGAAACTACTCCTTATTTAAATAATTATTTTTAAAATGTCTTTCCAGAACCAATACTTCCCAACCAAGATACCTAAGAAAAATGAACTACTGAGAATGATCCCAAATTTTGTAAAAGCAGTGATGGAGCTGGAGAGCATTATGCTAAGCGAAATAAGTCAGTCAGAGAAAGATAAATATCACATGATCTCACTCATTTGTGGACTATAATGAACAACACAAACCAATGAACAAAAACAGATTTAGAGACAGAAGCATCGATCAGATGCTCAAACCTCAGAGGGAAGGTAGGGGAGGGTGGGGTAAGGGGGAGAGATCAACCAAAGCACTTGTATGCATGCATATAAGCCAAACCAATGGACCCAGACACCAGGGGGGTGAGGGCATGAGTGGGGGTTGGGAGGGGAAGCAATGGGAGGGGAAAAAAGACACATTTGTAATACCTTAATCAATAAAAAGTTTTTTAAAAAAGCAGTGAAACAAACAAAAATCTTTGCTGTTCCCTTGTTTCTCTGGGTATGGAGAGAGCCGGGGCAGCGCGCACACCTGCTGCGGTTTGTGGGCAGGTGATGGGGTGTGGCAAGAAGACTACTAGCTTTCTTTCCTCGTCTTTGTCCTGGTTCACTCGTGCAGGGAAGCATGTATGTGGTTACCTTCCTAACTTTTTAAAAAGGAAGTTGACTTCAAAACAAGGCACTATGAACCCACACCAGTGCCCGCTCCGGACCCCACAGCGAGGGGAAGCACCTCCACTCACCTTGTCACCGATGCGGCACAGGTACTCGGCCTTGGTCATCATGGCATCGCGGATCTCACTCTCCCCGAGGTTCTTCTCTGCATCTTCCAGCTCCTCGTCCAAGCGCTTCAGCTCTTCTTCGTTCGCCTTCTTCATCTTACTGAGCAGGTCCACGTCCACCTGCCAGTCCAGGGATTTGCACAAGGCTTCGTAGTAAGGAGCCATGTCTGAGAGCCAGAAAGAGGGACGTGACATGAGTGGGACACCCCTCAGTCCCCCACCCGCGACCAGGAAGGGAGCGGGCGGCGCTGCAAAGGGCTGGGCAACGCGCAGGTGCTCGCTGCGGGCAGGTGAGCGCCAGGGCCCGTTCCCACCGCCAACCTCTGCGAGGGCCGTGGGACAGGCAGCCCCCGGTTCGCCTCGGGCGGCTGGTGTCCAAGGGGAAGGGGAAGAGGGAAGAGAGAGGAAAGGGGAAGCGTGTCGATGCACATAGAGTCACGTGTGAAAGTAACACCGGCCAGTGCGCTGACTGCTACGAAGGACCGGGGACCGACCCCAACCCGCCCCTGCGCCCGGAAAGCCTCACGCCCCCACAGCCCAGCCCAGCCAGGCCTAGGCCGCTGACTCGGCGGCGCGGGCCTCACTGTTGTCGCGGACGGCCGCCATCAGCTCGTCGCGCACGGCCGCGTCCCCGCGGTGCTCCGGCAGGCTGAGCAGGAAGCGCAGCTGCGCGATGCGCAGGTCGGGGTTCTTGGGCAGACCCTCCTCCTCCAGGTTCTCCAGCGGCATCGCGGCGGCGGGGGCTCAGCAGACGGCGACTCAGCGAAGACCCGCGGCGGCGGCGGCGGAAGCGGAAGCGGGCGGAGTCGGCGAGTGCGCCTGGCCGCCGCCAGCCGGCTTCCGGGCCGGGGTCCGCCTCCGTCCGCAGCGGCCCCTGCTGGCCACCTCCAGGATCGCCCCGCCGCCCGCGCCGTGCGCGCTGCACTGAGCTCTCCACCCGCGATTCCCGAGGACTTGGGGCCCAAGCCCGAAGTTCCATTGCGTGAACCTCTTCCTCCCTCCCTTTTTAGCTATTTTACTTTTCATTCCGTTTGTAATTGATAGGAGCCGACAATCTTTTGAAGGTTTGAAAAATATAACAATAACAACAAAAATTAAAATAGGACCCGAGTTTCCCTTGCAGCCCCAGCTTTGTCTGGAAGGTCGTCTGGAAGGACATCTGGTCTAATTAGCATATTACACTTTTATTACTATAGATTATATGTATTATTTTTCCAAAAATGATATAGCAATTTATTAAACAGAGAACCTGTGTCCCTCTTTGCCGATACACTTTTAGCAACCATCAACCGTTCTGAGCTTTGGCGACAGTAGCGGTGTTGCTTCTCCTTACTCTTTCATTATTATTATGAGGTTGAATTTCTTTTCACATTTGTACTAACCACATGGATATTCCTTTTTAACAAAATGCCTTTTTCGCCTTCTCAGTTCCTCTATGGAAGTCTCCTTATTGATTTTAAACACTCTTTATATTTTCTGTTAATATTAATCCTCACTTGAGGATATTTCTTGATTTTTAGAGAGTGGAAGGGAGGAAGAGATGAGGGGAGAGAGAGAGGGAGAGAGAGAAACATCCATGTGAGAGAAACACACTGATTGGTTACCTCTGGCAGGAGCTCTGATAGGAGTGGGGATTAACCATGCAAACCAAGTATGAGCCCTTGATGGGAATCAAACCTGTGGCCCTTCGGTCATGGGCCGAAGCTCTAACCACTGAACACACCAGCCAGGGTACTCTTTCTATCTTAAGATACTAAATGCTTGTCAGTGGTGCAAATCTCCCCCTAGTTATTTCTCTACTTTTTTGTAGCAGTAGCAGTGTTGCTTTTGAAAATTTCACATAATTTGGCCTGCGGGGACCAGGCCAAAACCAGCAGTCCGACATCCCCTGAGGGGTCCTGGATTGGGAGAGGGCGCAGGCCAGGCCGAGAGACCCCACCGGTGCACAAATCCATGCACCGGGCCTCTAGTTGGATATAAGACCACAGACTCAGTATTAGGTTTAAAGGAAAACCTGTGTACCTAGTGACTAATATAGGGAAGGTGGTTTAAATTGTACATGACTGGTACATTCTGGTTTCCAAGTCTCCTAGTCTAGATTCATAACCAAACTTAGGTTGCAACTGCAGGAGGATCTACATGACAGGGGATCCTAGCATCTCCCCCGATGCAGATGCGATGCTCTCCCAGGAGACCTGCTCTCCTCTCAACTCAGAGGAGACCAATTTCCGGTCAGATCTGTCTTTGCTTTGCTTTTAGCACCGCGTTACCACTAATTGCTGAGGAATCAATCGAACCCTGAACTGTTGCAGCGATTTGCTTGATCAAAGCAGCTCTTTGTCCCATAATGACAAGTTCTTATTGAACAGTAAGTCGCCCATTTCATCAACCTCTCGGTGGCCATTAACTTGATTGGACCGGATTCACTAGTTTTACAAAGACCCTCCTTTAAGCTTGAAGTCTGGGGTCTTCTTGGTAGCTGCTCAGAGGAAAAATAAGTATGCATCTTCTTTGTAGAATTCTGTTCCCAGGGTCGTTAAAAGGCGTGTTAGAAACAGGCAATGGTGAGCTAAGGACATGTACGTCTTCTTTATTTTTTATTGAAGTAACGCCATATAAATGTCAGGTGTACCACATTGTAATTCAATATCTGTATCCTCTGCTACATGCTCCCCACAAAAGTTCCGTTTCCTTCCGTTACCATATAATGCATGTCTTCTGTATTTGCTCTGGTCCTAGCGTTTACTTTTAAATCATACTTTCTTTATGTATTATCAGTGTTACAAGTTCTTTTCTTTCTTTTTTAAAATGGAGGCATAATTGACATCGCATTACATTAGTTTCAGGTGTACAACACAATGTTTGATATTTGTATGCAGTGTGAAATGATCCCCACAATAAGTCTAGGTACCATCTGTCACCCTACAAAGTTACAAAATGTGTTTCTCCCTGTGATGAGCACTTTTAGGATTTATTCTCTTGGCAACTTCCAAGTATGTGAGGTACTGACTCTAGTCAGTAACGCTGTTGTACACGCTCTTTTCTCTTCCAGCCTGGTCTTTTTTAGAGATGCTGCCACACAGGCCCTCCTACTTCTTTTCAGCTTTTATCCTTTCCCTTATGTGAGAGCATTTGGCTCTGAAAAGGATGTTCTGTTCTGCAGCGCTGGATTCTTTCATTCTGAGCAGATCCCGGCTCCCTGGACCCGCCCATGGGCTGCCGTGATATCGTCCATGCCCACTGCATAAAAAATGTTCCCCTGGCTGTGTAATTAACTTATCTGCTAGCTAGGCAGTGGCGATGCTCACTGTTAATGACACACACTTTCAGCTCTTCCCCCTTCATTTCAAGGACTTGCTATCAGAGGCCCTGCACGTGCCTGACACGGGCTTGTGCAGTGACCTCTGGTCCTGCCAGCACCCTTCCTGGTGGGCATCACGGACCACACCTCAGAGGGCGCAGTCTCCACACAGAGCCTGTGCTCGGCACACACAGGAGTCCAGTTGCTGGGGTCCAATCCCAGCAGGTCCAGGGGTCCCCAAAGGTGTGGACGGAGTCGGCGAAGAAGGAATGACACGAAGACAGCCTTCAGTTGGTCAGCAGCCTAGTCAGGACCTATAGCCAGGATCTCCAGCCAAAGTTCTGGTCGGAGTTCTGGTCAGGAACTGATGAGGATCTGACGTTTATTGTCTTATTACATCCGTATTTATACCAGCCGATTTCAATCCTGTAAGGTGTTTCTCATCTCCATTCCAGGGAGTAAAGACCATGTAGCTTAATTACCCGCCTGGCACCCAATTAAGGGGTTGTATCCCCTCCCCAACCTCAGGGAAAGATCCCCACCTGGGGAAACAACCTTTCTCGGAGAGGTGACCTTGGTTAAAACACATGGCGCTAAAGGGAGTAAACATATTAACTAGGATGGACCGGCCTCCGGCATTCAGTGGTGGTAGCATAAGGATCCATCGACAGAGCATGCTCATTTTCCTCACTAGATTACACCTTTGCAAAGGGGCATTTGGGAGGAAGAAGAGCACTGCGGTTCTCAACCTGTGGGTCGAGACCCCTTTGGCGGTCAAACAAGCCTTTCACAGGGGTCGCCTAAGACCATCCTGCATATCAGATATTTACATTACGATTCATAACAGTAGCAACATTACAGTTACGAAGTAGCAACGAAAATGATTTTATGGTTGAGTCACAATATGAGGAACTGTATTTAAAGGGCCAGAAGGTTGAGAACCACTGGTCTAAGGCAACCACAGGCCACTGCACCATTGCGCCAGCAGCCCAGCAGAACACGGGGCGCCCGGATCCCAAATGCATCTTAAGCTGAACTTGTGAAGCCTACACTGGACACAGTGAGAAAGCTCTGTACCGACCACCAGCAGATTCAGCAGAGACTGGAGAAAGACTCGTGGGAGAGACGTACACACTGAACATTTGGAGCAGGAGCTGCGGTCTAATTGCGGGACGCTGTGTTGGACTTCCTATTGCTCATTATTACTTAGTTCTGCTTTCATTTTGACCTTTTCTTGCAGGGCCTGTAGGGGAAGGGAGCAGCGGGGAGGCTCCAGGGTGCAGGGCTTTAGAGGTGGTCACAAGACTCAGGTCCTGTCCTCTGAAAAACCCGGGGAAGGGAGCCCAGTGCGGTGTTCCACGCGATCACCAGCAGAGGGCAGCAGTGCCCACCGCGTCGCAGGGCCCCAGGGCAGAGGACCCCTGGCCCAGGCCTGCCCTGAGATGAGGAATTGTGCGCTCCCTGCAGCCTGGTCAAGGGCAGGGGTGTACGGACCGGACCGAGGCACTGATAGTAAGGGCAGCGAATCGGGCATCTTCTAAATGTCACCAGAGAAAAATCATAGGGAAACCCAGTCATTTAAAAGATGAATATGACTTTCGGAACCCTTTCCCTGATTTTAGTTACAAATGGTGATTACTTGAAAACATACAAATAATGTATTATTTCCTCCATTTAGTCAACTAGTATACTGAGGGATTCAGCCCTTATTGTGTATCACATGTTATAGGAAAAAGAAAAAGAAAAAAGAAAAATAACCACCAGGGCCATCAAGACACAAATTTAAACCTCCATTAGAAAAATGCTAGATTAAATGGTGATGGAAGGAGGCTTGACTTGGGTGGTGAACACACAGTACAATATACAGGTGATGTCTCAGAGAATTGTACAACTGAAACCTACATAATTTTATTAACCAATGTCACTCCAACAAATCCAATAAAAATATTTTTGCAAATAGAATGCCAAGTCAATGAATTTTTAAGCGTGACTAAGATGATACCAATTAGGCTTTTAAAAAACATTGTTTAAGCAAAAGGCCTGAGAAACCAGTGGTCTTGGTTAACTCAAACTTAGCAGGCATTTGAGCCATGGTCGTGTCTAAGATGTTGTGATTTCTTTATTTCTGATTTCCTTGGTAAATTAGATCATTTAAACTTACAGGGAAACTTTTATTTTGGTTTATAGTTTAAATTAGCATAATGATAATAATAATAATAATAATGGCACCAAACTTTTATAGTATTTACTATGTGCTGGGTCCTTCTTTATGAACTCATCAAATATTAAGTCATGAACCTCTACCACAGCAAATGAGAGAGATACAATTATTGCTCTATATTACAGAAGTTCAGAGAGGTTAAGTAACTTGACCAAGGCCACACAGCTAGTATATGAAAAGTAGGATTTGAACTCACAAAGTCTGGATCCAGAATCCATGCTCCTAGCTTATTGTCAAACAGTAACCACAGCACACTCCTCCACAAGTAACGAGCAATGAACTTCTGCCCAGAATTAATTCCCTCTTCCTTACCTGTGATCACTCTAGATTGATTGATTAGCCCAGTCTTTCCCACCTCCTTCCCTTCCCATGA